GTCAATGGCAGTGTTATTCTGATAGGACCTGAGGTAATGGATATGTTTGTGTGAGGTGGCAGTTTAATAAGCAAACAGACATGTCAATCATGATAAATGTCTCCATGATCCCACCTCTGCCAATCTGTCACATTGAAAGACAATGCTGCTAGTCAAGTCCAAATCCTCTTAAATCCCAACACTAGATTGTAAAATAAAATTGAAGTCATCAAATTAAAGCACAGAATGCACACAGGGCTGTAGAACATAAAATTTTCTACCACTGTGCTAGGCTAGACTGTGCTGGGACATGGATGATTTACACATAATGGGTATAAATGGAACCTCAATATTGTTTAGCTGACAAAGTCTGTACCCCAAAATTGTTTTAGAAAACTTACACCTGACTTTACTGTAACATAACAACATATTCTATAGTAGCCATGCAAAAAATCCCAGACTGCATCTTATTTAAAAGCAATATATTTCAGCAGGGCAGTGAACTTTTTGCCATGAGCAGTCTGTTGCAGAGGGATCAGCAGTGCTACCTATGTATTTCCTTAACATGCTTTTCTTTCCCAGAAGGCAAAGAACATGAGTACAGAGGAGACTACAAAACACAGAAGTTTCTCTCAGAAAAACTGGGTTATAAAAGTGTCATGGATTACCTCTGATGTTTCCATGATGGACATGGCAGTCATAACTCCTGATCTAACACCTAGGGATGTGTGGGACTGTGGGGGTGCAGGAGGGAGTCGGCTCAGTGCTCTGGCCCTCAGTGCTTGGCCACACCAGGGAGAGCTGATTTTGGAAACTCCTGAGCAAGGCAGCTGGCATGGGAGGCAGGTTGCAAATAGCTGTACTGCTTCACAGAGACTTCTCTTGGCTTGCATAAGCAGGTGAGGGCTTTGGGAGGAACCAGGTCCCACTGGTGGGATGTCCCTACTACCCTGTCAGCTACTTGTTGTGGAGTGCAGGGCTGGTGACCATTCCCAGAGCAGCTACACAAACAGAGCAATCCAACACCTCGAGCCTTCTCTGTTTGCAGTGCCCCCCAGCACAGAAGTGCTTCCAAACAGGCACTCTGTCCTCAGCCACAGCAACATCTCCAACTAAAACTAGGTCAATAGTTGAAACCACAAGGAACTAATGGTCTACATAACTAACAGTGCTGGCACTGGGAAGAAGAAGAAAGACAGAAAAAGAGTTATTTTGAAAGACTTGAGGAAAATCTTCCTAGGTAATTAATTGCTCTTAGAACAGGGATAGCAAAAATAGGGAAAGAAATCTAATTTGTGAATTTGCACAGATCTCCTGCCTAGAATTCCAAGTGTCTCTCTTGTTAAAAAAATCATGCAACACATTCTAAAATCTTCTCCTTTTAAAAATATGTAGTAATCTGCTTTGTGACTATTTCTGGCTAAATACACTGGCACTACAATTCAGAGCAAAGCTCAACTGAGAGTGTTCCCTGGAGCAGCAAGTTAAAAAAAAAATAAATATATAAATTTACAATGTTTTTACCTTCCTGACCACTATATTCTAGATTCAGTGCTGTGGATCAATATTATAGTTGAATTATATCACCTTCTGGATCAATCTCATATGGCTGAGATGCACTGAAAATATTAAAAAGAGAAGGAGGCAATTAATGCAGAAAAAAACCCACAAACCTTAAATAAAACCACTTTCTATCATTTTGCTAAAATAAGCTTTTAGGCAGATGCTAATATTCTGAGCTGGCTGGCAGCCTGAAATGAGTTTGTGGGAATCAGGTAGCACAAATGGGTGGCTCAGAGAGAATATAAAGCCTTCTGTGAGTTTATTTAGCATTTTCCTGATGTCCCAGGCATCCTCAGGGAGCAGAGAAGACATGATCCTTTTCCCTGGAACATAAAGCCCGTGCAGTGGGGTGTGCAATGCAAAATGCAGGTGTCACACAGAATGTGAGTGCCTGAAACAGGACCCTTGGTACCATCACACCATGCTACAACACTTTCCAAGGGCAGAACCCCCTTCAAAATCCAATCCATGCAGAAATCAGTCAAGGATTGGAAGCAATGAGTCACAAGTATCTAGGGGTTGAAACTGTGTAGGTTATGATTTGAACTCTTACTGCTTTTTCAGCACACGATATAAACACAAACTAATTTATTCAACGCTGCTATTACAAACATTTCTTGTCGACTGCTCTCTACAGAGTGCTTTGAAATAAAAGTTATAGCTATTTAAAAGTTTTTCAATTGTTGTATATGAATGGAACTGAGATTGATCTTGACTAAAGTGAAGTTCCTTGATGAATATAACTTTGCTGTAATTGCAGACTCCTCAAAATGCTTGTGCCTCTGAGAGCTGTTGCTACATCTCCAGTGGCAATAGCATCTATTTGCAGTATTAAGTAGTTCTGGGCTCCCTCCCCAAGGCTCTCGTTTTCCCTGCAGCACCCAAAGGTGCAGAGCAGTTACCCAGCTGTAGAGCCTGAGGCTGTACACAGCATGCTATCTGAGATCAAAAAAGGTATCAAGGTAATCATCTGAGCATGCAGCAAACATATAAAAATGGGGTTGGATTCCTAAAGTTATGATTCAGAGGCAGGTACATCAACAACTTTTTATTTTCTGTAACAACTCCCAGGGAATTAAATATAGTTGTAGGAAGCTGCAAGTATGAGCATCATGATTATTATAAGGCAAACTCTGATGGAAATCTACATTATGCCTCTTCTGTGCTATGTTATGCTTGTTTCTTTGACCAGGTATACAAGAGGAGGATGAAGAGCCTCATGCTTACCACAGGGTGAGACAGTTCCTGTCGCCAAGCACTGCACAGGAGGTGATACACAGCCCAGACCCTCACTCACCTTTTCATTATTTTTCTGAGCACCCATATCCTACACCAAATGTCTCATTTTAGTAAGGTATGGACCATGAACTGTTGTCTCAGGTGACTTTCCAAGTTCTCTTCAGAAAGGGCAGGTTTGGCCTCTGAGAGCATTTAACAGCACAAGGCAGTTCAGCCTCCTGCATGGTGCATTTCATGTTTTTGGTGCAGTACATAGGGAAGAGGGATATCACTGTCACATAATACACACACCTTGCTTCTTGCCCATTAATTACCAGGAGCACTTCTAAACTCACTTTATGCAAGAACAGTTTGTATTTATGCAAGATTAATTTGATCTTTATCTTGTTAAATTTGAAAATATTACAAAACAGCCTACCTGCTACATCCCAGAGGCATTTGTGAAGTGCTTTAAACATTCAAAGCACACTAAATGCTAAATGTTAAATATCACAATGATAGGCAAAATGCTATTGGTGCAGTAGTGAACATTCCCAATGTCCTGAAACCAATCACTAAATTATTCTTGTTTGTTTCTGCATAGCACAACCACAAGAAGCTGACATGGAATAGAAGTCTCTAGCCCAGTATTTAGAGGGTAAAGACAAGTATTTCTAACTGCTCCTGATTTCAAGTTTGCATACTCTAGAAAGTGTTAAAAAATTCTATACCACGTTAGATGTGCTGGGTTACTCTGTTACTGTTGTGTGATACAAGTGAGAAGTGATGAGCTTCTCTCAGGGCTCTCTTGGAATTCTGCTTACTCTGCTTCAAATTAATTTGCATTTAGGTGTAGGAATTTTACAAATGTGATATGGCAGCTCAAAATACCACTTTTGCTGCATGAGCAAATGTCAGGAAAACCATCCATCTGCATGCAGAGCAGCACCCAACTGCACTGTTTCCTCCAATAAGATGGTGTCTGATGTCATTCAAACAAACAGATGCATTCATTTCCTTCTCAGGGTGAAACAGGAAATATTTGTAAGTGACAGCATATTTATCACTCTGCTAGTGCTGGTACCATCCTTGTATCCTATTATTTTTCTCAAACCCTTCAGGCAGAGCAATTTGAAACCCTGCTCAGTAACTCTGCTTCAGCTGTCCAAATATTACTGGGCTGTTATCAAGGAATTTCCACAAGAATTATGTAAGTGGATGAAGTTCCATCCTAATATTTATTTACTTAACATCCTGAAGAGCGCAGCTATCCCGAGCCTGGATCAATAGTAATTCCTTAATGAAAACGCAGTCAAAACCACGATAGAAATAACTGCCTTCTAAACTAATCTGCTTTACAGATAAGAAAATTGACTAAACAATCTGTTAAACAAATACTATCATGTTTACTTTCTATAATGCAAGAAAGGAAAAAATCAAGAAGCATCCACAGGAAGAAAAAATCTCCAGTAATTGCTTCATTTTAAACAATCCTAAGAGCAATAATAGAGTATTTTGCATCTTTGGCTACCTCTATTAAGCAATTAATGTCTCACAGTAAGCTGAATGTCAAATGAATACTGCAGGTTGTTTGCAGCTATTTATGTCCATGGAATGCAATTTTGTTTTTCTGCTTATGTCGTCTTTCATCAGGTCATATCAAATCATATTTTGTCAGTGTTTATTAATTCATCTAAAGCTAGTCACATGACATACACTTCAGTGCTCTTAGTACTAAAAACAAATGCTTTTCATAGTTCCAGGTGTTTGGGGTTTTTTTATATAACTAGATACATCCAATTAACCAGTGACTTGCATGCCAAATTTATTGCATTTCAAGCATGTTTTTACTTAAAGTGTTGAGCAGTCATTTAAATTAATACTCCCCTTTACTTTTAAGTTGCAACCCATAGACTACTGAAGAGATGATTTCCTCTTTGCAAGAGGAGTGACTTGAGCTAATGCTAATGGGAATTACTGAGGCATACCATTAAAGTTCTAGACAACCTCAAGTTTTCAACAAGACCAAGAAGTACCACTGTGCCACTTAGAGACTATTTTGCAAAAATTAAATGTTAGCAAAGAAACGTAGGCAAATTTTCCTTCCACCCTGGTATTAGTAAATCTCATTTTAGTTGTACACATGGGACAACAAAAAATTCAACATCTACATTGCATCCAGAAAACCAGAGAGGGAAAGAAAGGGATGAAGAGAAAAAAAATAAAATTAACTGGTTTACCTGATACTGTACAACACCTTTCCAGTTTTAGAAATCCTCAGCAACTTGTTGTCTGTTGTGACATCATGGAAATTTGCTCCCTTCTCATTGGCAAAGAATAAATCTGGCTTCCAAATAGAATCCAACATAGAGGGATCCAAATCCAGGGAATCATCGGGATATTCGCTGTATGCCAGACGTGAGTCATTCCACTGCTGCCTCAAAAAAATGTTCACTCTGTAGTCCTACAGAAATGTCATGTAAACAGGTTACTAAGCCACCAAAACTGGAAGCCCACTTTAGCTTGCTTTATGTTCTTAGATACACAGCATTACAGAACATTTGTGTTATCCTTTGAACCTCAGAGTTGTCATTTGAAAATAAAGTTGTCAAAGTGCTGCATGGAACCAAAAAAACACATCTGAGACATTTTCCAAATCAAAATTCCTTCAGTGATGAGAAAAATATTAACTGCAATCTGCACAATTAAATGTAACCCTATTTCAAATGTTGTGGATTACCTAAGAGATATTTGTAAATTCAAAAAGTATTGCAGTTAAATATCTACAATGTCATCAAAGAGGCTACAAAATTACCAATTTAAATAAATGTATCCTAATATGTAAGGCATTTATGTCTAATGCACTCATGAATAGTTTTTAATTCCTGTGAAGCCAAAATTGTATAGAAGAAATTAAATCACCACTTCTTATTTACTACTAGTTTCCTTTTCCTATTTACTGTATGATTCTGTGTATGTTCCTTCATTTACTCCTCCCTGTCTGCATCCCATTAATATTGGCCTGGTTGTATTCTTCTGCTTGGTGGTCTGCTAGTCTCAGCTGGGAAAGGCAGCAATTACTCAGTGGTTCATTTAGAACAACATTAACATTGTGTCAAGAACTGGTTATTAAAGGGGAGTGCAAAAAGAGATTTCAGGTTCTAAACTCTCTGAAGAGAGTGGAAAGAAACAAATGCTTACTCTCCTAATCCCAGGTATCCAAAGTCAGCAAATAAGATCTTCATCTCTCTGAAATTATCATTTTTAATTTGTTTGTGAACACTCTCTTAGAAATACCATTTACTCTTCCTCTAAAAGAAAAATATTTAATAATATTTGTATTGATTATATTATCAGAAGGAATGCTTTATCAAATAATTCTGCTGATACTACAAAGCATTAACATTTGGAATTTTCAGCTGCACATTAAAAAGGCAACACTGTGCTTTTGACTTGGAAAATGTATGAGCTGGCTGGGTTTTAGTCAGGTACCTGAACTGCATAGAAAAGAAGTTATCACCCTGGAAATGTAGATAAATATTCTCCCTGTGATCAGAGCTGCAGAAAGCAGCTTGCCCAATATGCAGACTCTGAACGAGCCCCTCCGTTCAGTTTTCTCCCCCTTTGCTCCATGGGGTGGTAGTGAGGTGTGCTGCTGCCCTGACAGAATATTTCTGAAATCCAAACTGATACAGATTTTTAACTCAATGGAAAGATGCATTACAATCTTAGTAGGTGAATAGCTTTTTTTTTTTTTTCCATTTTCATTTTGCTCTTGGGTAGATGTGATTCCAAACAGGAATGTTGACTAATCAGAGCAAGGCAGACCTGAGAGAGGTCTCAAGAATAGCATTTATTAAAGATACTTACAAAAGCCTGTATCTGTTTTTCACAAGTCATTGTACTTTTTATGATGTCCTTGTTTCAGACATTTAAATATCAAATAGCTACTTGCAGTTCTGAGCTTATAAAATGTCGTCACATCTTGTGAGGATACACCATCCATAATTATACTATCCCTTATTTCTTGGTCTTAGAAACTGAGAGTTTCTTATGTTTATAATGTGTCTTTAAGCTTATATTTATCTTTAAGTATATATGAGTCTCAGAGTTTATATGGGACAGCTTTAGCTATAAATCCAGGAATGCACTGATTTGAATTCTGCAGAAAAGAAAGCAGGAGCAACTGCTGATTGAATAACATTGCTACAACTAGTTGTGAGACTGGCTTTAATTTTTCACTGTGATATGATATATAATGAAGTCTTTGGAAAACAGAGGGATTTTTTTCCCATGATATAGAAATTATAAATAAGTTAGATCAGTAAATTATATAGAAATATCTAAAAAATTGCTTTGATGAACTTCGATGCTTGGTGACTTAGATAATAAAAAACAGTCTGGAAAATCTTTATTCATAGAAGAGATTGCATAGGATAATATATATTATACCAAAATCATAAATAGTGACAATAAGATTACCCTATATTTTTCAATATATCCCTTCATAAATTTATCAGTCGTCACACCAATACAGTTAGAAATGCTTTTCCTCTGCAAGCTTTGTTGTTAGAAGCAAAACAGAACTGAAACCTTTGCTTACATCTGATAGGCTTTGCATATATATGTGTAGATATTTTAATGAGAAATAAAAATGTAAATATAACATCTGCATCACAAGAACAGCATTATTTTTTCCTCCTATGCTTGCTGTATTAGCAGTAGAGAGGGATGTGTGTAAACACAGTCAGACCTAATCATGTACAGAATTTTGAATTTACTTTTCCTGAGCTACCACTGTAACTATGTTTTGAAGGCAAATTCTCTTGAGAATAGTAGAACAACATGGAGTTGAGGCATGCTACAGTGTGTATTTGGTGAGGTCCTGAGGGTAGAAGTGGGTGTGCTGTAGTAAAGCACTCCTACACAACCACAAGTACACCTACTCTGCAGATTCCTTCTGACAGCACCAGCACTCTGAACAAGGAGTGTGGACCTGAAGATTCAATCTCAGATGCACTACCAGTGTCAGCAATAGCTCAAGGCAACTCAGATAAACAGTTTTCCTCTGTTCTCAAGCCATAAGCTGGCAGCAATACAAACATACTGGAAGAATATTAATCTGATTAGATTTAATAGCTCTATCTGAAGATTTAGGGACTTGATCCACAGATATACTTATTCTGTTTATAGGAACATAGATAGATATAATTTTTCAGCAAACATAAATCCAGATTCACAGAGCAAAGCCCTGGATCCCTTTGGCCTCAGGCACTGCTGTGGCAGGAGGAGTGCAGGGGAGCCCCTGCCCTGCTCAGTGCTACTTTCTGAACCAGCACTTGTCCCAGGTCTGAGCTTTCCTCCCAGCTTCCCCTCCAACAGCAGGAATTGCCCAGCAGTTGAGTTGGGAGTCTGAAACAAACAGCAGACTTGCTGGCCTTCCATGAATAGCAGGGGTTTGCCAAAAAGACTACTCCATCTCTCTCTAAATCCTACAGATAAATGCTAATTGAAAAGCAGTGGTTTGATGACCTGTTCCAAGGCCATGCAACAGAAAAGCACTTGGCTACCCATGGGTATAAGCACGCAGTGTGTCCCTAATGGCTTCACTGGGAGCCTTTTCTTTAGTTAAAAGTATACATGTGAATTTATCAGGATCTAATAAGCTTATTTGTAATTATGGGGTTTTTTCCCTCTAAATGGGAGATAGTATCATGCAGCCAGCCACAGCAAAGCTTTTAAAATTAAGAAATGACAATTTTTTCTGCTGACATAAGTACTCAAAACACAACTGGAGTTTGGACCATTTACCCTAACAGAGAACCTGCTGCACAGTGTCATTGATTATAGGGCACAGCAACAATAAGAATATCCTCACAGTTAGTCATTTCTGTAATTAACAATTAGCTTGTCAATGTACAAACCACTCTTAACTTCTCCTACAGCTGATAGCTAAAAAATCCTGGTCATTAGGAACACTGAACATCTGAATTCCTTGGGATGCTGCCCAGGCTGATGTAGATTACTCATCTGTAATACTCAACTGCAGTCATGCTGTATAGTGAATTTTCTGCTGAATACTGCATGTGTAAATACTTCCAAAAATAGATACAGAGTTTACTCTCATAACTGCTTTATTCAGTGAAGTTACTCAGAAAAAACTTTTCCTCTTTCTTTGCAAATTAGGGCTTAAATTAAAGATAAATCAAAGACTATATCATCTTGACTCTGGCCTTTTTTTACCTTTTTCATTTTGGTATAATATATATAATTCAATAAGGAAGAAAAACATTTCTTTTGCAGGAAAAATGATCTATTGGGATACTGTCCCATATGTGCATTATAGAGCAGAAAGACAGTCATATCTGCATTTTGTTTCTCTAGATCTTTGGGAATAAAACTTGTGAAGAGTCTATGGAATTCATCCATCTGAATCAGCATAAAATCCCAGGTTTATTTCTTAATGTAAGGTTTTCATTTTTAGAAGAGTGTGCTGGACATTGGAGCTGTGCTGGCCTTTCACATAGGGAGGAATTTTATCCTGTATTGTGTGTCTTAATCAGAGGACAGAAACTACTCCTGGTAATGTTACTGATATTAGTAGGTCTGGGATTGTAATCCCATTTGTCATGTTAATTCCTCCTCCTGAAAGCTTCCCTAAGCAAGTTTTCATCTTCCAAGTTCCCAAAGAACTGCTGTAGGTGGTCCAAGTTATATTCTGATAATGTCCCTTCACTGTATGCACATGGTTTCACTAAGCATTCCTCTCCTCTGAGGCAGGAGTGTCTCTATTGAATTTGCAATCCAAGTTTTTAAATGAATCATTTAGTTTTATGTCAAAACCATCAAGAGCATTTTATAGGGAAAAATGATTCCTAGGAGTCAAACAAACTTGTTATTTATCACAAGGGATGCCAACAATTTTACCACACAATTATATCTGTTTCAGAAAGGCAAAGTAGTTGGAACTGCAATTGATGTCTGCCTCTCAGAGCAGACTCCTAAAACTAGTCACAATAGTCATTAAAGAAGTGACAACATTAAGAAAATCAATATCAAATAAGTGAACAGCATCTTAGAGAATCTTTCCACACTTTCAGCAGATATAATGAACAAAGCAAAATAAGAAAGCCAATAGTCTTTGTTTTCATCTACTTGAACGTTTGGCTGTTTTCAGCAAAATGTGTTAATGAACATTGGAAAGGTACACATTAACATATTTGATAGAAGGTAAAATGCAATGAGGGGATTTAATCAAAGCAATGAAGGAGTCTAATTAATGCAATCAGCATTGGGTCGTGCAAATATTTTCATTGAATGCCATCTTGTAAAGCTAGTGGCGTGCAGGGTTTTTGCTACTTAATGCTATGCTGATGTCTCTACACACTAGGATCAACAGACATGACTGGGTTAAAATGCTACACTCACAGCTATCTTCTCAGAATCCTTAAAACACAAGAAAACAATTAATGTTTTCCTAAAATACTGAAAATTAAGTCTGTTGATTATTATGTTACATGCTGATATGTTTATTTCCCTACCATTTTTAAATTTATTTTACTTTTCTTTTAAGGTGTTTTTTAAAATATTACAGATACATAGTCTAAAGCATTAACTTATCTGTTTTATAGCTCTGTATGATACAGCTTGTCATTTACAGCAGTCTTTCCCATGCTGTTAAAGAAAGCAACCCAGCCTAGCAATAACTTGCCTTTCATCTCTAGAAAACATTAAATAACAGGGTGGGTTTTTAAAATAAAATTGTTTAGGAGCAGAAGATTTGTGTTCCCACATTCTTTAATCACCACTTACTAAAATGATGGCATGAGTTACAATTGAATCGAAAATAATATTAAACAAAAGACATAAGTCAGACTAAAGACCTTCTCTTCCTTCATAATACAAGGCCTGCAAGGCAGTATCTATTCCATCTTACAAAAAAGCTGCTCTTTTGGTTTACTTCAAGTGGGCAGCAAGTTCATTATTTATTACCATTATTTATTACCAAGTCCTGCAAGAAGCCAAGCACCTTTATTGCCTCTGGCTTCAGCAATTCCAGAAAAACCTGGATGCTGTGTAAGAATCTCTGGAAAACAGAGCTGTGAAACTACACTGCAATTTCTTCAAAAGTACCATAGATATGAGCACCTAATAATTATTATGGGTTTATGACATTATTATGATAAATTTGTCAAAAATATCTCTGTGGATTAACCCACATAGTCAGGAGCATGTAGGCTTGAATAAAAACCAAATCTTTTATATTCACTTTTGAAAAAGATTTTTAAAACTCAGCATCTTTTTAAATGGAATCAGAAAAGTTTTGGATTTTTTTTTTTCTTAGCAAATATTGAAAAAAATAATAGATTGATAGACTTCTAGACTAAAAGATTTTTTTAAAAAGTTAGATGAAAATTTTAATTTTAATTTTTTCTTAGCTTGATTTTTTTATTCTATATTTTGCAATTTTTAAAATGAAAGTATAACCTTTTTTTTTTGACTGTGTTCTTTGCATTCAGTCAAAATACAAATTTCAGGCAGGTGGAATCCCATCATTTCCTAATACTAATTTATCCTCAAAATACCTAAGTCTTATATCCACATGTTCTAGTCATTTGACTCAAGTTTTACACTTCCTTCTGTGGCTGATGTGGCTGCAATTCAGAGAGCTCTATCTCAGTTAAACAAGACCATTTTCTGCAGCAGCAGGTGATTCAGCATGCAGTGTAAGGCACAATCAAATATGGTGCACTTGGCAGGGAAACCCAGAGCTGAGCTCCAGCCGTTCCTCTGCCTCTTCAGAGCTAATGAAACCTGAGGAAGCAGCTTTGCACACACCTGTGTTTGCTGCCATCACAGGCACTACAGACTGTGGTGCAGTCTCTATGTAGGTGTGTTTAGACTTGATAGGGGAGTTTAATTTTTTATATATATAGTTATTTTATATTTATTTTATGTTATTTTATTAACGTTATTTTTACTCGGGCTTTTAGTAGGTTTTTAGTAGGTTTTTAGTAGCTTCATAACTTAGTAAATGTCCCCACATCCTGAGCATCTCTATTCTACATCACATCCCACTTCTTCACAAGATGGCTTCAATGATCATTCCCACTCACCATTGTAGTTTCTGCTATTGAACCAAAGCTGTTGATAAATATGTTGCAGGTAACATTTACAGGAGGACCTGCAAGTTGAACAATAAATAGAAAAATTGACAGGTTTTGTTCATGACATATATTAAGTATTGTTGTTCTCTTGCCAATGGCATCATAGCACTTACCATTGTGGTTTCTGTGACTGATCCAAAACTGTTGATAAAAATATTGCAAGTAACGTTTACTGGAGGACCTGTGGAATGCAATAAAAATGTTGCAATACACATTGAAACAAAAGTACAGATCCCTCAGCCTCCGTACAATCTGGTACAGATGTGGCTGAAAATAAGCAGAAAGTGAGTTTTCCCAAACTGCTCATGTAAATTTTGATCAAAAGAGGAGCATTATCAACACTAATTTATTTAACCTAGTTTCATTGGAAGTTGTTATATAAACACATAGAACTACATGCTTGCATTTAGAGATTGACAGAAGAGTTGTGTGAGGGCTTTTTTCTTACCCACAGTACCAGTGCAGAATATACTTTAGCACTGCAACCACTCCTCTCTTCCTTCTCCCTTCATCCAGAACTTAAAATTTTATCTCTCCACATTTACTCCACTCCACAGGCAAACATTTGCCACCGAAATTCCCAGCAAGGGAAATTTTCACACTGACTCCAGTCCACAAACAGCTCTTCCTGCACCTGATCTGGAAGTGTCTGCCTTGCCATAACTAAATATTTTAGCAATATCTGTTCTGGCTCGAACAGATAGCTTTCATTAAACAGCTATTTGCATTCTCTTCCCTCCCACCACCTTTGCTGTTATTCAGCAGTCACTCACGTGTGGCAGAATGAATGGAGATTTAATATTTAATTAGTTGCCTATTAGCCTTCTCGATTTTTTAGGTGTGACAAAATAAACAGGGGCTCAAGAGAATCAAAAAGGATTCATGCCAAAGGCCTGAATTTCAGTGACACAGAAGTTGGTATAAGCATTGAGTATCAAGTACTTTCTTCTTTCTTTTGCCATTACTATTTTTAATCACATCATGTTCCTTATAAATGAAAAATTGTCAGTGCAGAGAATATAAATATCCCCATTTGGTTTATAATTCAATTTATAATGAAATTTATTTACAAAAGATGGAAATATTATTACTTTCTTTTTCATGAAATGGAATAAACTAATGAGTCCACTGTCAATTTCCTGAGTGCTAGACTACCCACCTTAAAGGAAACAATCATGTTGGTTTTGGGAAATAAAACCACAACAGTAACATGTTTTGAGGCTGTTAAATTCCAATGAAGTGTGTTGTTCAACTCAGTTTTTTTACAAGAATTGTTTTTAAAACACTTCCTTTTTATTTTGCAAATGTGTTTTCATTTCCAATACCAAGTCAAAACCAAGCCAAATAGTCTGCTATTTTCCCTCCATATTATCATTTTTGCTCCTTTGAATTGGTGGTATTTCTACTAGCTAGGCACCTTGAACAACATGTTTCTCTACATCCAGACATAGGGAGTCACTGTATCACTGAAGCTGGAAGGAACCTCTGGAGATCACCCACTCCCTCTAGTCCATCTTGCTCCAGAGCAGGATCAGCTAGAGAAGGACAGTGCCACATCAGACTCTGAATATACCCAGAGATGGACACTTCACAGATTCTCTAGGCAACCTATGCCAGTGTGCAGTCACCCTCACAGCAAAATGCTTCTCTTATGCTTAAGTGGAATTTCATGGGTCTGAAGTGGAATTTCATGGAAGTTCACTGTCTCTCTTCCTGTAACTAGGCACCACTGAGAAGAATCTGGCTACTTTTTCTTTACTTACACCTCATCAGTTATTCATGCACATGGTTGAGATTCCCCAGAACCATTTTTCCCCAGGCTGAGTGGCCTCAGCAATCTCAGCCTCTCCTTGTATGACAGATCCTCCAGTCTCTTAACGACCTTCATAACATTTTGCTGCACCCATAGCAATAATTCCATGTCTCTCTCATACTGGGGAGCCCAGAGCTGGGCTCAGCACTCCAGATGTGTCCCTCTAGTTCTGAGCAGAGTAAAGGATCCCTTCCCTCAACCTGCTGGCCATGCTCTGCCTAATGCAGCCCAAGAGTCCATTGGCTGCCTTTGCTGCAGGGGCACGTTGCTGCCTCATGTTCAGCTTGGTGTCCACCAGGAGCCCCAATGCCTTTTCTGCAAATCTGCATTCCAGCTGGGCATCTCCCATATTGTTCCTTCCAAGTTGAAGGACTGCATTCCCTTTCCTGAACACAGTGAGGTCCTGTTGGCCCATTTCTGCAGCTTTTCCTTGTCTCTCTGAATATCAGGAAATCCTCTGGGGCATCAACCATTCCTCCCAGTCTTCTTTCTCCTGCAAATTAGTTGAGGGTGCACCATGTCCCATCATCCAGGTAATTAGTGAAGATGTTAAAGAGTACTGACCCAGTACCTGTGCCAGTAGTACAACAGTAGTGACTGGCCATCAGCTGGACTTTGTGCTGCTCATCACAATCCTTTGAGCATTGCAATTCAGTCCATTTTCCATGCCCATCTAGCTGGTCTGTTCCAATAATCCATTCCATGTTGTGAGAGACACTAACAAAAGCCTTGCTAAAACTGAGGTATACACTGCTCTGCCCTGATTCATTGAGCCTTTCAAGTCCTCACAGAAGGCTATTAGCATTCCAAGGAATGATTTCCCATTCAGAAACCCATGTTGACTACAACCAGTTATCTTGCTGTCCTTCATGTCTGGAAATGGCTTCAAGAGGATTTGCTCCAGGCTTTGAGGTAATGCTGGCCAGCCTGTAACTCCTGTATTCTCCTGCCTGTCCTTCTTAGAGATAGGAATGATAGTTTTTTCCCCACATGATTAGGAGCTTTCGCCAATTGCCATGACCTTTTAAAGATAATTAGGAATGCAACCACCCAGCTATGCTAGGCACTTGTGGGTGTTTCCTATGTGGTCTTACAGACTTTCTGTGTCCAGTTTGCCTAAGTGCTCTGTAGCCTAGTTCTTCATCACTAAGTTTTTATTGATTTGGGCTTTTTTACAGGTGTCAGTGGCATGGGATTCCTAAAGACCATTCTTGATGGTAAAACTGTGGAGAAGGAGGCTCACAGCTGTTGTCTTGCAATGGCCATCATACATGAGCATCACAGTTCCAGGTCCTGAGTGCCAGCAGAACATAGTACACATGCTTAACTGTGCTAGGAAAACATGGTGTATGTATGTTAGGAAATATGCTGCCACATCACAGACTGATGTCTGTGTGTCCACATCTGTGCAGTCCAGATGTGCAGGAGTAGGTACATGCCAGAGCACTGTATTTTACAATAAAGCAAATACCGCCCCCTATTTCTGTACTTAATTATAATTTAGTCTTTAACTTGCCTTCTGCTGGTAGAAATGGAACACTGTAAGAACTATAAGAACTCAGTAAACTCAGTAGATAAACAGAGAGATCAGGTTTTTTCCTTACCTGAGGAACCTGAATGTAAATGTCTACGGATCTGATTAGGTGCATCCAAGTCTTGAGGGAATTGACTGATGTAATTTTTAAATTACTCTCCATGATATTTGAAAAGCCGTGGCAATCAGGTGAAGCTCTTGGTGACTGGCAGAAGGGAAGCATTGCACCCATTTTTAAAATGGGAGAAGAGGGAACCCTGGGAACTACTGAGCTGTTAGCCTGACCTCTGTGCTTGTGAAGATCACAGAACAGATCCTCCTAGGAGCTGTGCTAAGACACATGGAGGACTGGGAGGTGATTTGGGACAGCCAGCAGGGCTTTAACAAGGATGTGTCTTGCCTGACAAACCCAGTGGCCTTCTATGGTAGAGTGACTACATCAGTGGTCAAGGGAAGGCTGCTGATGTCATTTATCTGGACTTCTGTGAGGCCTTTGGCACAGTCACCCACAACATCCTGCTCTGGTAATTGGAAAGGTGTGTAAAATTTGTTCAGCCTGGAGAAAAGAAGGTCCCAGGGACACCCTATTGTGACTTTTCAATACTTAAGCAGCCCTGTAAGAAAGATGAGAACAAATTTTTTAGTGGGGACATTCTGTGGTAGGAGAAGAGGTAGTGGTAAACTAAAACACACTTCATCCTGTAAGAATTTTGTAATTTAATAGTTCAATTAAAATGAAAGCAGCAAACTTCCGTGATGCATAGCCAAGGTTTCAGGAAACAATCTGAAAATCTTCAAAGGCAAAGGAAATAATTAATTTGACTTTACTGCCTAAAATCTAAAAAGAGTTGACATTACCAACAAAAAATTAATCAAAATATACTTTAAAACTAAATCCTTTTCTCCCCCTAGTTTTCCTTTTGTCACTTCCAATGCAACAAGGTAACAGTCCAGGTGCCTTTCAGGCACATTCAAGATAATCCCAGTGTTGTTTGAGTCATAAGGAAAATGTTTCTGAAAAGGACTCAGGCAAAAAAACACCAAACCAAGCCCAAACCAGGCAGCTAATGCTCAAATAAACCAGAAGGTGCATGTCTGGTGTTCTGATAAACAGCTCAGATATTGCTTCTGTTCCCTGCAGCTCCCTCTCCTCTGCTTCCCCGGAGGGGCTGGGGCTGCTGCTGCTGCTGCTGCCAGTCAGCAGGGCTCTCTGATACACTGCCTTCTTGAAAAACCCTGACATGAGAGTGTGGCACACACCTCCTGTGACTTTGGGGCACTTAACACTTACACAAAGTCCCTGGCACTCATCTTCTCACCTCACCCACAAGAAACCAGAAAACACAGAATATTTCCCTGAATGTGCTGTGGCATGTTGCCTCAAAACTCCTGCACCCAAGGTGTCTGTGATCTTATTGCCATCTGGCTAGAGAATGAATCCTTTCCTTATCAGCTGCCACAGGAGGTGAATCCATCCCAATGTGTGGAACAATCCCCATATGGAGTGATGAGTGCTGAGAGGAATACATTCGAGCCCTATCCAGCTCCTAACTCCAGCCTCTGCTAAATATTCTTCAGTACTGGTAGCCCACAGTCACAAATCTTGCTCCATTTGGTACATTCTTAAGATTTACTCATACTCTTTCACTGGAGATGATCCTAACTGCAGC